GCCTGGCGCCTGGTCACCACGGGGACCGTTCACTGCCTTGTGCACCCCTGGAGAAATAGCCACTTGCCAACTGCCTGCCTCTCCCTGGCGGTCCTTTTAAAATAGCGTGTCCAACACGGTGTAGGTCTGTGTGGCACAGAGAACCACTATCAGCATCCAAAGTTATGAAGTATTTATTATTCCTTCAGCTCCTCAGGCCAGCACATGGTTAATGGCTGCCTCCTTCAGACCTTAGTTAAGAGTTCTGCCTGTTCTGATGGACCCAGCACAAAAGAGGGCTTCTTTCTTGCTCCTCTGAGTTTTATCACCTTTCTTTTCCCCACCCACTGACCAGGTAAGGTCAGGCCAGCAAAGCTTTTCCTGAAGTTTCTGGAATTTTCCTTCCTGAAGTCTCTCTAGTATTTAATTCCTCCAAATCTCTGTTCCCTGCTTGGAGGGGAGGAAACCTGACCATCCCTTTGTCTAGACCTAGCATTTATTTATTTATTCTATTTATACCCCACCGTCTCCTCTGAAACAGGCTCAGGGTGGCTTACATAAAAGGTTAAAACACATACAATAACAATTATAAAACAATCATTTGTATGAAGGCGAGCTGAGGTAGGTCTGGAAAGCAATTGACCTGACCTCCCCCCCCCCCCTTTTCTGGCCTGCTCTCTGCCCAGAGAGAGAGAGAAAACAAACTTTTAAAACTCAGAGTGAAGGTTTTGCTCATTGCAGACCTCCAAAGAAAGAAAATGCATTCCTTCACAGTCCATATGAGTTTTGTTACTTTTGGGAAAAAAAATAGAAGTCCTTTATTTAAATCTTGAAAGGAAGAGAAAGCATTCCCTCTGTCTAGGCTGGGTTGGGGAGAGTTGGCAGGGGACATGTCTTGCCCTCATGGCAGTCAGAAAAAGAAACAGGAAGAGGAAGGAGTTAGCTGGAATGGAGGAACTCCTGAGAGTAGCATTCTGGGTAAACGGCAGCAGAACAGAAAAAAGGAAGGATATAGGAATGACCCATCTAGCCTTGCTAAATCTACTGCCCCCTCAGAAGTACCGGTCACACAGTTATTGTTGTTATTGTTGTTGTTATATTTATTTAATTAATTTGTGCCCCACCCTACCCCACAAGTGGTCTCAGGGCGGCTGACAACATAAAACCATCAACCAGTAAAAACAATAAATGGCAACAACGGATGATAACAAAAACCCGTGCCTCATGTCAGGCAAGGAATAGCCGGCACCCCAAGAAACTCCAGTTGCCAAATAATATCCAAAACAGCAAGGGCACTGGGTAGGGGACCATGTACAGGGGAGGCCAGAACGGTTGAACTTCCACCGCCTTAACCAAAGGCCTGGTGGAACCGTTGTGTTTTACAGGCCTTGCCGAACTGTAGTAAGTCCTGCAGGGCCCTGATCTCAAGTGGGAGCTAAGTGGACGTCCCTCGGGCCAGGGACCATCAGGAGGTGCTGGTCAGAAGAGCATAGAGCTCTCCTCCAGGGGTCATATGGGAAAAGGCGGTCCCACAGGTATGATGGCGCAGTTCTGCACAAGATCAGCTATGTCTCTAGCCGACCGTGCTTCCATCTTGTCTCAGTTTGCCATTTGCCACCAGCCCCTACCAGGACTCTAATTTAGTACCTTGGAGCTGCCAATGTCCATTGTAACACAGCTTGGCATTGTGGGTTTTTTCCCTGAAATGTCGTTACTCTGCCTTAACCCTTGGCGACAATAGAACTGGCGACGAGGGTAAATAAATACATAAACACGTCAGCCACTCGCATGGTTCTCACCAGCATGTTGTCACCTGCTCAGCAATTTTCCTAGTGATGGATTAGGCCGCCTCGCTGAGGTATTGTGTGTGAATCATCCGGCACCCAGGTCTCGCTGGCAATGGGTTATCTGCACAGTCATGCCCATTGCCAGGGAAGAGTGGGAGGTTTACCATGAAGAAATCCTGTTTGAGAAATCAGTTCTGAAAAATGGGGGGGGGCGTGCAGAAGAGAGAACAATCCATTGGAATTCCTGAGGTCACACGCTGGTCGTTAGCCAGCTTCTTGGATCTCACAAGCTTCGCAAGGGAAATGAAACAGAGGACCCACGCTCCCTTGCGAAAGGCCAAGCTGGTCTTAACGAAATGGGTCAAATGTTCGGTTTGGCCCAGAGTGAATGCCAAATACCCATTGTACTCGAGGCCAAAGTAATAATAAAGGTTGTGCGGATTTAAGCAACTCGGATTGTAATTTCTTTGGAGCCGGAGAATTTCGCTCTCTACAAATGGGGAGTGTCGGTAGCAGTCAGTGTAGATAAAAGCCTGTTCCCGGTGGAACATGACAGAGAAATGGAACCCAGGGCGGGGTTATGCAGATGAAGGGGTGGGGATTAGGGTTGCCAAATGGCACTTACCCTTGTGGCAGGGGACTCCAGCCCGGCTCCTGCGCGCGCTGCATGCACATCACAGGGAAGTGACGTCATGACGCCGGGCACGCTGGGGTGGGGCCACAGCCATTTGAGGGGAAAACATAGAGTTTTCCCCTCAAATGGCTGTGGCCCCGCCCCAACGTGCCCAGCGTCATGACGTAACTTCCCTGTGACGTGCACGCGGGGGTGGGGTTTCCCCCGGGGCCCGATTCCACCGCGGCGGAAATCGGGCCTCCAAAGTGGGGGTTTCCCCGCCCCCCGGTCCAATTTGGCAGCCCTAGTGGGGATATGTGACTTGAGTTCTCATTGGCTCCTGTTGAACTCCAGGGGCTGGAGTGGACAAGGCATTAACTTGAGATGCGGGTCCCCCAGAGATAGGAGGCATTTATAGCTCATCTCCAGTGTGGCTTTTTGCAGTGGAAACAAATGGCAAGCACCCACTCGTTTTCTGGAAGTGAAAGATCTCTACATTTTGTGGTTAAGCATTCATGGCTTAAAGGAAGGGGAGAGTAACTATTGTTCTCCCTGGCCCAAGGGCCCAGAAGGAAAACAATCTCTATCCAAGTATTGGTGGGGTTGGGAGATTTGGGGGACAGTGCCTGGTAGAGAGCAGAGTTTCGGGAGAATGTGGTGTCTCTTCCAAATGACACTCTGGGCTGCCTCATGTCATCTCTGTGGTCTTTGTCATAGGGGCACGAGGAAATTCCTAGAGTGACACTATGTGGAGGCTCTTCCTTCCTTGGGGCTAGTAATTTTCTGTCTCAGGTGAGTAAATAGTAGGCTTAATTCCTAGGGAAATGAAATAAACACATGATTGACCAGTAACCTTTCCCCCAAGTAGGTTACTACCTTCTTGTCTGTGTTCCTCTGCCCTGCGGAACATGGCCAAAGAATACACAGGACGGTGCCTTCTCCTAGACTTTGGAACTCCCACCCAAGAGAAATTCAATCAGCCCCATCTTGGTTAGCTTAAACTACCCTTTTTTGTTAGGCGTTTGCAGTACCTGATTCGAATTTTCTTCCTGGTTGGATTTGGGATTCCCCTCCCACACACACACATTCCTTCTGGCCTTTAAAGCTCGCTTTTCCTGAGCAGAGTTGGATGTTGATTTTAGTACGGCTTCTTGTTGCATAGTAAAGGTTTCCCTTGCTCGAAAGCTAGTCGAATCGGACTCTAGGGTGTGGTGCTCATCTCCGTTTCCAAGCCAAAGAACCAGCACTGTCCGAAGACGTTTCCATGGTCATGTGGCCAGCATGACTAGACTCCGAGGCGCATGGTACCTATTTATCTACTTGCAATTTCTTGCTTTTGAACTGCTAGGTTGGCAGGAGCTGGGACCAGAGACGGGAGCTCACTCTGTCATGCGGCACTCGGGTCTCGAACTGCTGAACTACCGACCTTTCAGTCTGCAGCTCGGTGTCTTAACCACTGAGCCACTGCAGCCCTTCTTGTTGCGTACCGTGCGTCAAGTTGTTTTCCTTTCTCACTTGTTTCTTCGGGAGCTGATGGGGGTAGAATTTTCTAAAGAAGATAATTTGTAAAACGACAACGACCCTGCATTGTCTACACAAGCCCAACTTTTGGGCACATGCCACCTTATCGAAAAGGCTGTAGAACTACTTTCTTATTGAGGTCCGCAGCTCTTGCACTGATGCGCACCTGATTGATTCGGAGCATCTGTTCCTCCTCAGGGCCAAAGAACATTCTGTTCTTTAAGCGAACCAGGCAGCGGTTTGGGTGGAGAGTGCATTTGGAGGGAACTGAAGGCTGGGGTAAAGAAAGCCATGGATGGCATCGCGCAGAGGAAAAATGCAAAACACAGCAAGTGAGCTGTTCCCTTCACGTTTTGGTTATTCACAAACCCCACCTGTTCCTCCAGTACACCTTAAAGATTGTTTCCTTTTTAAACGAGCCATGTCTGTTTCTGTACCGGACCGTGTTTGGGTTTACAGCCATTGGATCCAAAAGCCCTTGGCCTAAATGTTCACAATGTGGGCCCTGTCTCATTCTCAAAGGTGCTGTGAACGTTGCAGCTGGTGCGTGGCCAACATCTGCCCCATCAATAGGGGGATACCAATAGAGGCCCACCTTACGGGGTTGTTGGAAGACAAAGTGCTGTGAATTCCAGGGTTGACAACTCCAGGATGGGAAGTTCCAGGAGATTGGGGGGCAGTCTTGGCTTATCAGTTGGTATGCTTGGGATTCCCTCTTTGGTGTAGTGGCTAGGAGCGCGGACTCTAATCTGGGAGAGCCGGGTTTGATTCCCCACTCCTCCACATGCAGCCAGCTGGGTGACCTTGGGTCAGTCATAAGTTCTCTCAGAGCTGTTCTCTCAAGGGCAGTTCTCTCAGAGCTCTCTCGGCCTCACCGACCTCACGGGGTGTCTTTTGTGGGGAGAGGAAGGGAAGGAGACTGTAAGCCGCTCTGAGATGCCGAGTGAAGGGCGAGATATAAATCCAACTCCTCTTCCTCCTCTTCCTCTTCTTCTTCATCCTCCTCCTCTTTCTCCTTTTCCTTGTAGATGCTGGGTAGCGTCTCTGTGGTGTTTCCATGCATCCTTGGCCTTTAACCCTCGCATGTGCATTATTTCCAGGCGATTACTTTGGGATCCTCATGAAGGCCAAGGTGACCTGCTTCCCGTTCAGCGTACTGGACAACCCGATGTACTGCGGCAGCACTGCCATCTACTTGGGATGGGCTCTCATGTGAGTTCTGGCAATGACGCCATCCATATTGTCTCTTTGGGACTCCCTGGCCGGCTCCTCGGGGGTCTCCAGTATTACCTAAGGCCACCACAAGACGTTAGCCAGGTTTTGGTCCGGGGAGGATTGCTTGAATTCATAATTTTTTTAAAAAAATTATTCACTTCATTTATTCCCCAAAGTGGCCGACAGCACTGATCCGCTCAGGAACCGCCCCGCGAGATAGGTTAGCCTCAGACTTTGTGAGTGGTCCAAGGTTTTGTGGGAAAGTGGGGATCTCAACCTGTGTCCTCCAGATGCTAGTCTGACGGTCTGACCCCTACAACAGGGGTCCCCAGCCTTTTTTGGAGCCTGGGGGCACCATTGGAATTCTGACACATCGTGGTGGGCACAGCCACAAAATGGCTGCCGCAGGAGGTGGCACAAAATGGCTGCCGCAGGAGGTGGCACAAAATGGCTGCCACAGGAGGTGGCACAAAATGGCTGCCGCAGGAGGTGGCACAAAATGGCTGCCGCAGCTTCAGTCACACAATGAATATCCTTGTGTTTTTGGTATGTCTCCGGGAGAGCATTACAGTCTGCTGAGAATAATCTACTGGTGGTCCCTGGCCCTAAAGATATCCAGCTGTCCTCAACCAGAGCTAGGGCTTTTTCGGCCCTGGCTCCAACCTGGTGGAACTCCCTGCCAAATACCACGAGGGCCCTGTGGGACTTAATGCAATCCCGCAGGGCCTGTAAGGCAGAGACATTCCATCAGGCTTTTGGCTGAGGACAGCACCGGTTCCATCATAGCCAGCACCCTCCTCCTCTCTCTTTTTCCTTTTCCCCATCTTCGCTTCGGCCTTCTCCTCACCTGCCCATGAAACAGCAACACAGCCCAAAGTAGGGTAACAAAGGAAAGGTTGACGCCGTCTGAGGTAATGTAGCCGATTTCCGGTTTCGGCTCTTAATTTTGCTCTTAATGGTCGTACTTCGCCCCTAGAGCCTTACGTTGTAGGGAATTGGCGGTTTCGTGAATTGAATATATACATATAAATAAATACAGTGATGTTTTTAAAAAGCCAATCAAATCTACAGTGGCCAGTCAGGAGGCTCGCTGGGCGAAAGCTCCGCCTGATCTGGCCCACTTTCTAAAAGCGTTTGGCAGGTGCTGGGGAAAGTGTTTGTGGGCACCACGGTGTTCGTGGCCACCACACTGGGATCCCCCCCCCCCTACGCCCAGGGGTCATTTCGCAGAAAAAGAGGTGCAGGAGCTCATTAGCATAACTCATAAGCATAATGTATTTGCATATGCCACACCCCTTGACATCACCGGACGTGTGTCAGAAGGCAACACCCACCTCTCAGGTTCCACTGGACTGTTTTGGATTGCTAGCTATTGGGGGGGGGACGTGCAGATCAGTCCTCGCAGAGGAGGGAGAGCTTGTACCGGAATAAAACTTAGTCTTTAAGGCGCCACTGGACTGTTTTGGGCCGGGGGGGGAGGGGAGCTCTGCAATGTACCTGGCTGCTTCTTGCTCTGACTGAGGGCTCCTGGGAGCAGGGGGTGGGGCTTGTTGCATGTGCCCACCCCCTGGGCTCTTTACTGCCGGTGCTCCGCTCCTGTGCGCTCCTGCAGAAAATGACCCCTGCACGCCATTCTGGCTAGTAGACATGTTAGTCATATTTGCACTGTCATAAATCCACTCTTGCTTTTAGGTGGGTTTTTCAGAAAGAGTTCGCGTTAGCGTTTCGCACGCTTGCTGCATTCATTTAGGGTTACTCTCAGGCAATGGTTGCAGGCAGTGTTCCCTCTAAGCTGAGTTAGTGTGAACTAGCTCACGGCTTTTTAGCCTCCAGCTCACACATTTTTGTCTTGGCTCAGGAAGGATGTGGCTCCAGAGCAAACTAATTTACACAGCAGCCAAATTGCTCGCTCACGACTTTAATGCCAGTAGCTCACAAAGTTGAATTTTTGCTCACAAGACTCCACAGCTTAGAGGGAGCATTGGTTGCAGGATAACTGACTTAGAAGATGAACGTTTTTAATCAAACAGGACTGAGTGAGTTTGCGGTATTGTCCGCGAATCAGAGTTCATTGATCTGTTCCTGGGAATACAACTCTTCTTTGTTCTTGGTGGTGAGCAGCTAAAAAAGACTTGCTTCTTCCGTTGTCTGATTCGTGCCCACTGTAAGCCAGAGAAATAATTGCCTTTTTTAATAGCGGATCCAGTTTTCACAGGGTTTTTTGTTGTTTCTGAGGATGCAGGGAGGAGGGTTGCTGCATTTTTGGGACCATTCTTCTCCATAATTTTAGTCCACGGAGAAAATGGTTACTTGGTTGGAGGGGAATCAAAGAATACCAACAGCAAATACTTTGTATTCGAATCCGAGTGGTTCTGTCAGCTAGGCCTCTGGCTGTTCTGGCTGCCAGTTACTTTGGCGGGTTTCTGCCTGGGCCTCCAATTGGACCTGAGCCACCGGGGGACCCTCTCGAATAATGTATATCTGCTTGCTTTGCATGCATTAGGCCAGTTCTAACACTGGAAGTGCCATGATATCTGCATACTCTCAGTGTCTCAATAAACTTTACTGCTTTGAATGAAAGCGGTTGGGAACTGATCGCTGCAGGAGTCTGACAGGTTCCCTGAGGTCTGCTTCTCCTTGCACTCCTCCACCAGAGAGCTCTCCAGCCCCGTTCCTCCCTCCTGGGGTGCTTTTGGGGCTGGTGCAGAATAGCAGAAATCGGTGAAGTGGGGTGGAACCGTAATGCCCTTTCCCAGGTCTCCCAGCCGCCCCTTGCCTCCATTAGACTCAAGAAGAAGAAGAAGAAGAAGAAGAGGAGGAGGAGGAGATTGGCTTTATACCCCGCTCTTCACTACCCAAAGGTGTCTCAGAGCGGCTTACAATCTCCTTTCCCTTCCCCTCCCCACCACAGACACCCTGTGAGGTAGGTGGGGCTGAGAGAGCTCTTGACAGAAACTGCTCTTTTTCAAGGACAGCTCTTATCAGAACCATGGCTTGCCCAAGGTCATCCAGCCAGGTGCAAGTGGAGGAGTGGGGAATCAAACCCGGTTCTCCCGGATTAGAGTCCGCGCACTTAACCAATACACCAAACTGGCTAAAGACAGTAGTGGCTCCACTTTTAGTGTGACCGGGACAGAGTTCTTTCCAGAATGCCCGTGTTTGCATCGGGGTGTTCCCAGCTGTGCTGGTAAGTCAACTGCCGTGCTGGTATGCCTCACGGTGGGACATCTTCCCCAGCCGACATTTGCCACAGTCTTGCCGACCTATATCTTTGTCAGAGAAGAGAGGGTCCATGTGGCCTGTACACAGTAAGATGCTTCCGATCGGGCATTACAGGTCTGCAAATATTACTTTCCCCCTCGCCCCAAGAATCTGAGTCATAGAATAACACAGCATGGTTCAACGCGCATGTCTCTGTGTTTTGATGATGATAATGATGTATTGTCACAGTCAGATATTTGACTGGTAGATGGTGTTCTGCAATTTGAAACCTAGCCAAGTTCTTGGGAATTGCAGATGTATCTCCGCGGGGTTCCTGATGTTCCAAGCATCTTCTGGAGCTGAGCTGATGTTATTTGTTCAATACCTAGAATGTCCAGATGTTTCTTTAGACTTCTAGGCACTGCTCCAAAAACCTCCAGTGATAACTGGTACAACAGTAACCTTCTTCTCCCAGAGTCACTCTAACTCTATTTGGAGGTCTTGATATTTGTGGTCTTCTCCTGTTCTTTCTTTTCTTGCCTGCTGTCTCCTGGATTGCAGTGTCAGTGATCCAAACCCTATTTCTCATTTTTGTCTACAATTGCAGTATCAGGGGTGTTATGCTCCAGGTGTTTCACCTGTTTGTAATCAAAAGTCCCAACGAATCTTTGTTTCCTCATTCTCCATGTTCTTGTCTGCTTTGCGATCCCATGAATTCCTGTCTGACGGTAAGCCATACTTCTTGCGAAGATTCCAATGCTCCACAGCTGCAGCTCGGTCGTGACGTACTTTATACTCAATTTGAGCAGTTTTGCTTCAGGCACTGGCCATGTAGTTGACTGTTTTCATCCTTTGCCTTGCAAAATAACATTTCCCGTCATCAGTGCTCTTCTGATTCTTGACTTTCATACTGTGCAGCTGGAATGAGTCCTTCCGCTACTTTCTTCAAGTGCCCATTTTGGAGACACTTCCCAGCGCTTTCGCTATCAACTTTGTTCTCTACGTCTTTCAGATACTGACCGGTCAAGTGCTTTTCCTTCCAGTTGTCAAAGTGAGTTTTGATTTCAACCTGTTTGTCATCTTCTTTGGTTCCTGTCACCGTAAATAAGTCTGCCTTGCACACTTCAACTAGAAGCTTCTCTTTGATTTTCTCGGTGTAGTCATCCCTCTCGCCTCCTCCACAGAGCCGGAGCCATGACGGAAAAGATCCGGTGTCCGGTCAGTGCCAAAGGCGCTGCCCTAAATGGTGGCATAGCCAACAGATGGCTGCCTGATGACTGTAGTTGGTGCACATGGACATAGGGACATACAAACAAATGCCCACCAGTGGCTCGAACACTCCCCAGTGTAACCTTTCCTCCACTGCCTAACACAGAGCCAGTTTGGTGTAGTGGTAAAGTGCGGGGACTCTAATCTCGGAGAACTGGGTTTGATTCCCCACTCCTCCACTTGCACCTGCTAGATGGCCTTGGGCAAGCCGTAGTTCTGTCAGAGCTGTTCTTGAAAAATGAGCCGTTTCTGTCAGAGCTCTCTCAGCCCGGCCTCCCTCACAGGGTGTCTGTGGTGGGGAGGGGAAGGGGAAGGAGTTTGTAAGCCGCTCTGAGACTCCTTTGGGTAGTGAAGGGCGGGGTATAAATCCAATCTCTTCTTCTTCTTCTTCTTCAAGCAGAGTTTTGTGATTCTGTCATAATACAGGCCCGGCGAGAGGCCTAAGGCCTGTTTCGCCAGGGCTGATTTTACTGCCGTCACCATGACATTGGAAAGTCAAGGCTGTTTCCGTTTGCTGCCTGAGAACA